GTGCCAGGTAAGTCTCCTACAGGAAGTTGGGGGGGGGGGGAGCGTAGTGTGATTAGGGAACATTGTTTCATGTTGGCATGTTTTTAACAAAGATGACCTATGTATATAATATACATGTATATTATACAGAAGTATAGCCTTATTTGTAATTTTTTTTTTCTTTCTTGATAATGTAAATTTACAATTTTATAATTTTTTCTGTGTGCTTGTCTGTTCCGAATAGCTGACATAACCTACCCTGCGGCCTCAAGCTGCCTTACATGTGCTTCTATTGTTCCTGATAGGCACTGGACTGATGCAGCTGGCAGCAGCTTGACAGTGAGGCAGTTGTCACCGTCCTTTGCAGTGAAGGGCAGCAGTTCACTAACCACTCCATGTGGGCTGAGGAGTTCGCCTGCAATCCTTCTCGACTCCTTTTCAGACTCAACAGAGATGCCATATTGAACCAGCCATCTGGAATAGGGTAGGAAGATATTGCACTTAAAAAATGAAAAGAAACAAATATTCTTCATCAATGTTCCATTTAATTTTTATGATACAATTAAAACATGTTTTTATAGCTTCCAAAAAAGCATTCACTGCCATATACCATGTACTAAGGTTTACTTGTATCTTTAGTTCATTGTGATCCAGCCTTACTATTGTCTGAATACAGTTAATGTTACAGACAACTGTTACAAGTACATAGCTGAAAGCTGACCTTTTCATTTCTCTTGTCTGGTGCCAGGTTATGCTCAGGTCTGTTTTTGCTGACAGGAGACTGGCTGCTGGAATCCTGATCTTGTCCAGCTTGACAGCTTTTAATGCAGCCTGTAAGTCTTCACGAGGTAGGCGTTGCAACTCCTTAGTAAGCTGAAGCGCAGTGTCTCCTCTACTGGTTATCTTCCTGGCTGTCTCTACTTCTTTCACCCTTCTCCTTACTGTTGTAGGGGTCACATCTGTTGTCGCTTTCCTAGCCTTCGTCAACTTGCGAAGGATTATTGGCTGCGTATTGAATAATACATGTATATTTTAGTTGCTGGTATTGTGATATCCTGCAATAAACAAGTGTATATATATTTATATCATACCCGGACCGCTATAATCTTTGATAACTGCATTCCGGAACTTTACGGCCCAGCCCGGAATACTGTACTGTGTATGATGCAGTCTTAATTGCTGATACTGTGGAATACTGTACTGTGTATGATGCAGTTTTAATTGCTGATACTGCGGAATACTGTACTGTGTATGATGCAGTCTTAATTGCTGATACTGTGGTATACTGTACTGTGTATGATGCAGTTTTAATTGCTGATACTGTGGTACACTGTACTGTGTATGATGCAGTTTTAATTGCTGATACTGTGGAATACTGTACTGTGTATGATGCAGTTTTAATTGCTGATACTGTGGAATACTGTACTGTGTATGATGCAGTTTTAATTGCTGATACTGTGGTATACTGTACTGTGTATGATGCACTTTTAAATGCTGATACTGTGGAATACTGTACTGTGTATGATGCAGTTTTAATTGCTGATACTGTTGTATACTGTACTGTGTATGATGCAGTTTTCAATTGCTGATACTTTGGTATACTTAAGCCTAGGAACATTTCTTGAAATTTTCTATACTATTTTTATAGTATGTTTCATGTCATACCAGACTATAGCTAACATAAGGTTATTGATATCTCCTGTTGTTGATGAGACTGAGAGCACTAACCTGTCCCCCTGTTTTGCAGGATACTGTTTGGCCATCACAGGAGGCAGCTAATTGTCTCCTTATGAGAGGCAACAGAAGCTCATTCTCCCACGCTTGTATGGCCGGCCCTGCACTTGTCAAGGTACGTATGACTTGTTGCACAGCAGGGGGGAGGACGGGAGCTGGGCAGGGGAGAGTGGAAGCTGGGCAGGGGAGAGTGGAAGCTGGACAGGGGAGGATGGAAGCTGGACAGGGGAGGATGGAAGCTGGAGTGGGGAGAATGGAAGCTGGAGATGGGAGAGTGGAAGCTGGAGATGGGAGAGTGG